CATAGGGGAAGTTGACCTTTTGCTTGGATGGCAATACGCGCGAGAGGCCTGGCCAGCAAAGAGCCTGCTTCCACATGAGGGTACGTCTACACTACTGCACTAATTAGGGTTCTTCTTCATCCAGCCAACATAGAACTGGCTTGAGGTCCCACCAAGTAACATGGGAAATTCACACACCACTCCTGTACTCTTCTAAGAGGCAATACTTCCCCACTCGCAAGCACAGAGTCCAAGTGTAGAAAAGAAACTTAATAAAAGGAGGGAAGTAATTTGGCATTAACTTGGGAAAATCACCACAAACAATTAATAAACAAAACCATGAGTAACAGTCCCGCTCAAAGTAGATCGGGCAGTGTCCTTTTCCTCTCAGGTTCTTAAGTCCAGCAATCTAAATGTCCCCTTCACATGTCCAACCCTTCTTTGCACCCCACTCACAGTTACTGCCCTTGGTCAGTGCAGACCTAGAGTTCAGAGGTGCATTCACCGAGTTCAGCTCCCATCCCAAGTGGGGGGAAGTAAAGAAGTATCTTGTTCACTCCGCTGGTCACTCACCATCCACCTGCTCACTGCTCTCTATCACAACCTTGATGGTCATTCATCTCACCACCTATCTGTCATCACCCTGCTAGCTGCTCATTGAAACTTTCAGTCACCACCCTGCTAGCTGCTCCTTGTGGTGCTATCATTCTACTGGCCACTCTTTGCATCTTCCCTATTGGGTCTCAATCACCAGGGCTTGACGAATGCACTCACCTGCTCGCCCGTGGCAAGTAGATTTTACCAGCTGGCAAGTGCAGGGGCGGGCTGGCCGAAGCCTGCACTACAGGCGGCACGGCCCCATCCGATCCGCTGGCCGGCGGAGGAGCACAGTGCTGCTGGGAAGGGGGAAGTGTGGAGATTCTTCCCACTGGGCTACCTGCATGCAGCTCCGGCACGAGAAGGTGGGGCAGGATGCTAGGACGCTGGCGTGACCTGTCCCTGCTGATTTTAAAGGGCTGCGGCAGCTCAGCTCTGGCCGCGTGTCTCTGGGAGCTGGCTGCGGCGTGCGGCACAGCCAGGGCCCGCCCCACCGACTCCAGTCCTGCCCCCGCCCCCGCCCAGTCCTGCCACGGCCCCAGACCCCCTTTGTCTCCACATCGCCTGTTCCCCTGCACCCTGGACCTCCTGCTCTCCCTCTTCCCTGTGACTCTTTGGCTCTGTGCCGACCTTACACCCCACACACTGCTCCCCCCGATCCCTGCCCCCCAGCTCTGTGCTGCCCATTTCCTGCACTGCCCCTAGACCACGATCCCTCTGCCCCTCCCATTCTTTGCGTCCCATTCCCCGTGCCCCTGCATTTGAAGACTCTTTCACTAAGGCTGTGTCTAGACTGCAGGGTTTTTTCAAAAAAAGTTGCCTTTTTTTGAAAAACTTCACCTGCGTCTAGACTACAGCTGTGTTCTTTTGAAATTAAATCAAAAGAATGTGGCTTTTCTTTCAACAGTGGTACTCCTCATTTCACGAGGAAGAACGCCTTTTTTCGAAAGTGCTCTTTCGAAAAAAGGCATTGTTGAATGCAAACAGGGCTTTTTTGAAAGAGAGCAGCCAGACTGCCTGGGTGCTCTCTTTCAAAAAAGCGGCTCACTTTTTCGAAAGAAGAGGTTGCAGTCTAGACGCTGTCTTTCGAAAGAGGCTTGTAGTCTAGACGTACCCTAAGTGTATGTCCCCTTTAGTTTGGGACAATTTAGCACAGATCTACTTTTCTGTATTCCCACAAAATTACAAACATTGGTCACCATATTTCAGCTGTCCCTGCATTTAATACAAACATAGCTGGTAGTGAGTCACGAATTAAATTGAGTACAATGAGTAAAATACCATTCTATCTGCTGAATATCTAATAGGGATGTTAGAGTTTAACCAGTTAAGCTCCTGGCCACCAACAGGAGCCCGCAGGTCTGGCAAGCGCCAGCAGCATGCGGGGCCAGCAGACATGGGCATCCTCTGGTTCCAGGAGCTCACTGTGTAACCGACTGAATTTTAGTTGATTACATAGTGTTTTTTTTAATTACATTCCTAATATCTAACACCTAAGCAAAGCAGGAGCAAATTGTATTTACATAGACACACCCAGGGTCTTGCACAAGAGGTGGTTTTTGCGCAAAAAGGAGCCATCTACACAGCTCCTTTTTGGGCAAAAATGACCCCTAATTAATTATGCAAATGAAGCATAGTGATATGCTAATCTGCACTTCATTTGCATAGGCTTTTGCGCAAGACCAGGTGCAGTATAGACTTAGCCATAGAATGTAGGGGTTCTTTTAGGGTCTGGTTTATGTTGGCTTTGTTTTGAAATGGGATTGGCTTGATTTTTCACTTATTGTGAAAGTTGGACACTTATTCACAGTGTGTGAAAGTGTTATACCAAATAAAAGCAAGCAGGATCTTATGAGGGGGATAAGGCAAAAAGCCACATTTATTGTAAAGATAATAATAAAAAATAAAGAAAAGATAGAAGCAAACAACGTTGTTTAACTACTTATTCCTAACACTACTTAACCCTTATACACTTATATATATATATA